GAAATCTCAGAATGTATCAAATCGCGGAGTGATAATGGACGAGTGTATCGTGGTGTAGCGATTTTAGAATGAAAGTGAAGGCATAAAGAGTTGTCATGTGAATAAAATAAAATACAACTAGAGTATGGGAGGAGAGATCTTGGTCAATGAATAATAATAATTATATACAACATTTATATAGCGCCCTACATATTTTGTTAAATCACTCTAAAGCGCATTACAACATAAGGATTAAAGTATCGGTTATAATTGTGAAACAAAAATGGCTTATAATCACCATTATACATTAAGCAAGAAGATTATCATCGCAGTGTGCAAATAAATGAATAAATAAGTATTTACATGAAGTCTATGCAAATAGTTTAAAATGCAGAAGTGAAGAGGTAAGTTTTGATGTCTTTCTTGAATTTTGGCAGGGTATTTGACTTTCTAATGGCAGATGGTAAGCTATTCCACTTGGTGGCTGAAACCCTCCCAAATCATCGGTTTCCATAGGTCACAGTACGAGATTTTTGGACACACAACAATGATTCTGCCTTTGACCGCAGTGATCGTTATGGCTGATACAGGGTAACAAGCTCCTGTAGTTACTGGGGAGATGTTCCATTCAGTGCCTTGTATGTGTACACCAAGCCTTGGTACTGCGACCGGTATCGTACAGGTAACCAGTGCAATAAACAGAGCACAGGTGTGATGTGCTCTCTCTTTCGAGTACGAGTAACTAGCCGCGCTGCAGTGTTCTGGACCCTCTGTAGACGACTAGTTAGTTTGTCAGATATACCAAAGAACAGGGCGTTACCATAAACCAACCGAGAGGTAACAAATGAATGCACCAACATGTTGCATGCGTCTGCAGTTATAAACTGACAGATACAGCCGATGTTCCTAATATGGTGATAAAAGGATTTGGCAATAGCGTTTACTTGTTTCTCCTTTTTAATGGAGCTATTAAAGTATACCCCTAGGTTTTAAACAGCTGGGACAGTCTCAATAGTTCTGGCACCAACCTTGAGCTGGAGAGCCATTGTTTGCTGACACTTTGGGGAATAGACTATTAGTTCCATCTTTTCCTGATTAAGCTTTAGCATGTTGGCGTTTATCCAGATACTGATATCCGTCAGACAAGCTTCCAGATTTTCTGAAATTGTATCCCAAGTGTCCTGTGGTTCGATAACCAAGTAAATGTGTGTGTCATCCTCATAACAATGCATTATAGCGAAGGCAATTATAGTGATGACAGAGATATCATTGTCAGCAGTAGAGTTCACTTCGGCAATATTTTCCTCAATCACTGAACTTGTTTGACCAGTCTTTTTCAGAATTACAGCTTGGCAGAATGATTTCACCTTTCTGACACATTAGGCTTTTGGTGAGTCTAAAAAGCTGTCTATGGTCCTTGCCACATTCTTCGATTCTTTCCGAATATTAAGCCTTCTTTAACGGAATGAGAGTAAACCAACAATCCGACATTGTTCCCTATAAATCTGTTGGTGAACGGTTAATTTGGTCATTCGCCACCGTCTCTCTCCTTTCTGCAGTTCTGTTTTCCTACGCGGAAATTTTCATTTTACCACGGGGCATTCGGTCTCACAATTATCACCTTAGTCTGTAGAGGTGCGTGTTTTCTCACTTTTTTACTTGAATGAACAATGACATCAAAATCTACGCAAATGTTAGGTCTTTTAAAGGGACATCACGTGAACAGACATATTTTTTTTAATGACTGTATGTATTGTATGCACTTCCACTTATGTTACCTCGCTATCCCCATATTCATAGTCCGTTCCAAATGTCCAGTTTGACCACTTCATTTGTTCGGGAAAGCCCTGCTAAAAATAGCGCCGATAACGTCACCTGACTAGGCAGTAAACACAAGTGGTCTGAGCGAGATGAAACGGTTTCCAAAGGGGCCGCACTATGAAACCAAGTAAAAATGATTTCTAAGTCCGTATTCAAACCTATTGAAAGTAGTTATTCATCATCAGAAGTTAATTGCACACTTGCCAATATTCAGAATTTAAATTTATTTAACTTTAAACATATTTGTTGCCAATAAAATTGAACAAGGGATGGGGCACAAGTTTTTACAATTTATCACAGCCTTCTCCCGTCATACATTTACAATTAAATGTCAACAATGATAATAGGCATCAACATAAAGTAGATATATATAGATATATATTGAATTTAGTACAGGAATGTGACCGATACAGATGGTATGGGGCTAAACACCATCCCTCAACCATGGGACAAACCTTAATGTAAAAAGGAATATTCAAGAGACGAATATCTCTTTGCAAATGATTTTATGAAGTGCATATATGCAATGACAAACTACACGCGTATAAAAAAGAGAAACGTTTGTGATTTTTTTTATTACATTATACAACTCAATGTCTTTGGCCAATTTTGTTTTCTAGACCATGCATATAAATTTATGTATACTCTCTTTCCGACTTTCACTGTCTCCATACGCTAACACTGAGTACGTCATATTAACCATCGACACAATAAACTGTATGGCAAAACCACTAAGTGTACATGTAAAATATGTGTCAGATATGGAACGTGTTGAGATACTTGATAATTATATTTTTTCAAACAGAAGCCGTAGTTATCGGCAGCACGCGTCATTTTCACAACTTAATCAAATGTTTTCCCCCTGTTTTCAAAACGTATTCCGATTCTATCTGAAGTCGAAAATAAATTCTTTATAGAGAAAAGGTTGTTACACGATCATACATTCTAAGTCAACATCATATGAAAGCATGAACTGTTGAAAAATTACGATTTAAAAAAAAAAATGTTGTGCGATCCTTTTTACTAGAAGTAGGTTCTCCTTCCTCAGTTATTCATCCTGGTCCGTCATTTTGACATTTTAAATCTAGCTAATCATTTTTTATATATTGCGTCGTCGCGCCAGAGGAGGCCGGGTATTCATATTAGTACTAATTTAAATCGTGCATGTAAAAACAAATCAAAAACCGTTTAATTCCGCAATATATTTAAATCATACCATTTTACTGATCCCGGTAATATTATAAATTATGTAAATATAAAAGCGCACCTATCTCATTTGACCCCGATCACGAGTACCGACAGAGGATAGAACAGAATACGCCGTGGCCATCACAACAGTTATCCCTTGGAGAGCCTCATTGCAAAATCAAACTAACCAGTCACTTATCCCTCCCCTTCGCATAAACCACTGTATAATTATAGAAATACAAAATAAACTCTTTCCGATACATGCTCATTAACATATTAAACTAAGTTCATCTGTGTTCAAACTCAGACAAAGATACTAGCGAGGTTAATAGTTTTAGATATTTATTCTTACATAAATAGCGCTAGCATTTCTGTCGATTCCATTTCATCTATCCGGAAGAATACATGCACCGTACCTTTGAATACTTCCCACCTGTAATAATGATTCCGTAACGTACTCATTGTGCTATCTTTTGACCATTTGGCAACTTTTCGCGTCGTAGCTGACACGGTACAACACTATTCTTTCGCTTACAGTCATTTTGTTTACAAAGAAATGGTGTGCTATGCGCATGCGCTAGTAGAGGGAAATCCTTGAACAAATTGTTGGTCAGACAGGTAGAAATACCAGTGATTATCTTAAGACAAAAGACAAAAAAAGTTACTTCACCGTGATGCCCCTTTAAAACGTCCATGCAAACAGTTAACAAATACTAATGTTATAAGAACTTTGCTTTGTATATTACACTAGTTAGAATCAGACTCGAGTACTGTGCTGAAATTTGGTCTTTCTACCAGTCAACCTTTATCAAGCATTTAGACATGGTCCAAAGAAACTGGGTTTTTTTCTGATTTGTATGTTTCAAACCCAATTTGAATTTTGATGATCTACCTAAAACAGATGTTTGTAAGCATTTTAATTAACCAAGTCTTGAATGTCGACAAAACTATTCAGACATTGTTAACATTTTTAGATGACTGTTTTCTTCTGATTAATTCTGTTTCTTATCCTATACCAGGACGACATTTTAGACATGATCTGAAAACTTTATTTCACAGGTCATTGAGCAGACTTAATGTTCGTTAACTCGGTCTTTTTATTCGAAGCTAAACATATGTTAACCTTTAGATTGATTCCTATAGTTTAGATATTGTGTGCCATAATGTTCACCATATATTGATGTTATTGCTTATGTCTATGGAACTATATTATAACAATGTTATACTGTATGTTGTTATCAATTCTTTTATTTGACCTCAGGGTCTGTTGAACTGAAATAAATGAATAAATGCATATAATTGCTTCCGAATGACATGTTATATAAATGATACAGCAAATATCTTTACTCTGGATGTCTATGACTTGTGATACTATTAGTTAAATTAAATGACTCTCGTTTCATGGGCAAAATAGACCATTAACATCATTGTTGCCATTGTATGAAACTACGCACTGCTCCTTTGTGTCATTAGTTAAGGACAGTAGTATTATTAAAATAGCCTATGTTAAAAACATTATCAGTTGAGAGGAATACCAGCCTGGGTGTATTTTCCTTTTGAGTGTCGTTAACGACTTGAAATTAATTCAAAAACATTTCACTTTGAAAGATTTTACCTCGCCAGTGTGTCCTTTTTTCCTCCTTGGTGTTGTGGGAAGTAACGGAAGCAAATGGTGGCGATTCGAGTCGTCACCATGCAACACAACTGTATCCAACATGCTCATATACTGTGGTTATATTTAGTTAACAAGTAAAAGTGAAAAGATCGCAACAGTAATTCTTCCAGACGCATCGACACGCAAATAAAATGTAATTAAATTTGCGTCATACGCTTATCGGGGATATTTTGGATTTTTTTTGTTTTTCTGAACGCAAATAATAAGATATTAATCAGTAGCAAATATGAATTGATTTCAATTGATCCTTTATACTATTTCATACAGGAGTACACTATACTACATCTTACTTAATGAAAATGCTGATTCTTAACCAGAGCTCTTTTGCATTTGACAGATCCGACCGTCACCACTATCATGGAATCCAGACTGCTCATTCTCGTCGTCCTACTTCTCCGAGGTCAGTACAAAATCCACCTCAATGTGTGTATATGAGCAGCTGGCTGGGATTAGGGTCCTTAAGTAGTCAAAAATCAATTTTGTGTTTTTATGATTTCGAAATCTAGAGACATTCCTGATCAAAGTGATATAAAAATTATGTCAGTCCGTCAATATTTGACGACTTGACGCCACTTTAAAGATAAGTCATATATAGAAGTATGCCAAATGACTTCTGACGTCGCTCACAACGTCATTATTTCCAACGTTACTGTTAAGATTGATACCGGCGGGTAACATATGTATATTAATTTTAACTGTTTATTTCTGGCTTCACTCCAGAAGTTTAAGCATGATTGTAAAGGGAAGTTCCAGAGCATTTAAATGGGAATATTTAAATATGTTATTAGGTCACACACAAATATTGCAATGTAAAACAAATAGGGTTCCAAATGACCATGGGACAAATAATACTTCTGTACTTTTGAACTTTATAGACTAACAGCTGTACAGTTTTCTTCCGGTTATAGCTGTGACAAAAATATGTTTACAACAAAAACTTGAATCAGTATTCACAAATTTATACCACTTTGAAATGACCATGACATACATGAAATTATTTTGTGAGAGTTTTGGAATGACAATACATGAAATTAAGTGATGCGAGTTGTGACGTTGCAAACTTGGTCATTGTCTTTTACGTCGCCACTTTGAATGTCAGTCATGCCCAGCTCAAAGAATGCTTATTGTATTGAAGATATTATTTCTGAGAGGAAACTGAGTACCCGGCAGGTGACCCCATGCCTTTTCACGTCCGATTGGGGAATCGGCCGCCTTGGTGAAAGGCAAGTGCGCTATCCACTTCACCACCCAACCACTCAGTACAGTACAGCAATTACCTGTGTAATAAGTATTTGACTATTCTATTTCAGTTGAAAATGCTGGTATACTTAACCTCATACTTTTCCCATGTAAATTAGATGAGGTCATTTGTTCCAACAGTACCATTTTTCATTTAAATGGAAAACTACAAAATCTTGCTGTTTTAATTTAGTGATTGTTTTTCTCAAAACAATGTAAAAAATCATTTTCAGAAAACAAAACAGGCATTTTAGTTAAGGCACAGATTATGTTATCCCTTTATTCAATACATTTTTTTGTAGATAATAAATAACAAGTTCTGTTTTTTTCATTTTCCAATCATTTTATTGGACAAGGAAGATGTCAATACACATTGCATAACACTACACATTTTGACATCACTTTCTACAGCCGCTAAACACTTTGACATGATGAAAAACCTAGAAAACTTGTACAGCCACAGAAAGACCGTCCTTAGGCCAGTACAAATGGACTGAATAGTCACTGAAATGCACTATTAGCCTAAAAAGTAGATTAAAAAACAGTACGTGACCATTCCTTTGTTTGGATAGATCACCAATATGAGCTTAATTACATCTAGAGGTAGGCAGAGAAGGTCCTTGGAATTATTTTTTGTAGAGGTAGCAGCCTTATGTTGGTGACAATCCTTTAGCCTCTAACACCACTGGAAGAGCTTCAGGAATGACTTTCCCTCTCATTACTAGTCTCACATCAGTCTCCTCCCCCCGTCAACTACAGGCTTCACCTTTAGTTCCCCTAAAATGAACATTTAATTCCATCTAGTGTATATATATCAACAGAAATTATATGCATTAAAAAGCAATTGATATATACCTTGTGCATACAAGATTTGGTGATCACCTATGCTGCACAATATATAAAAATATACGGCTTTATTGTGAAGCAAAACAGTTTTATAAACGTACATGTATTTTGTCAGAATTGTAGGTTGGGAAGCTATTTAAATGGTACATCCGAACAGTCTCAGCAAATTAAAGTTTTGAAAGCAGAGACACATATTTCGAGTAACTAAATATTGTATATATGATTAATATATATCACTGTTTTAAAGAAAGATACAATGTATTGATCATTGGCAAAAAAAGCTAGGTCTTTTGTTTGCAAATTCAGTAGATTCGCTGTACATTTGTACATACAGTTCCCAATTCAGTTTTTTACCTTCTGTATGCAATTCCTAAAAGATTGACATTCTTGCAAAATCGGTCCTGCATGTCATAAACTGAATGTGGGGAAGACACTGATGCCATATTCTTCTGAATGTTGTTTCTGAGTGGCATCTACTTTCTGTTTAACTGTTTGATAAAAAACAGCATCACAACAAATGATAAACCAATCACAGAAAACATCATTGCACAATACCAGTTTGTCCATTATGATGAGAATGAAATGATAGGTCACACAAAATTAATATGTATACATAGTATACCATGTAAAATAAATGAAGAAAAGGCAGGGACAAATGAGCTTTGAAAAGGAATCAATAAAAATTGACTGTTATTGGTAGGTTGGTTGGAAGTATTATGACAGTATTTTTTTCATAACATTTTAACATATTAAATTTCTCTGTCACTGGTGTGTAATACTGTTCAAATCAACTATTTCAACACTCGGTCCTGGTAGATTTTATTTTGGATAACAAATTTTAGATAAAAGATTTTTATTATGAAAACATAGGTTGGGCTAGTAGAATGTTTCAAAATCAACTTGCAGGCTAGTTTGTGAAAATGAAATTGTACACCTTAAAACATGAAAAATAAATGGAGACATTTTTGTTTTCATTTGGAAAAATATAAAATATAAAATATAAAATAGTGACACCTTTTGGAAATACGGCACAGTGCATCAAGTAAATAGGGTATCTATTTGGCAAGGCCAATACATAATTTCAGAAATTCACAAATAAAAAATTTCAAATTGAAATAATTCCAATAGTTACATAATAATTATCCATGGCAAAATTGATACTGACCCAATGGACTGACTGGAGCGTAATTAGATTATAATATTATAACATTTATAATTCAATTGTATTACTTACTGACACACTCAGGAGAGTTTCATGTGGACGGATATATAGGTGTTCCTGCCAGGAATCTATATTGGAGAACTTCATCTCTTCCACTTGTAGCATATAAGGATATGGTTATCCCACTTCATCTTCATTCCTGATAAATAAGGGAAAAAAGTTGAACTTTAACACATAATAAAAATATTCTGAGTCACACAAGTTGGTAAATTCAAATTTAATTTTTATATAAAAATATTGTAATTTGTTTTTCTCATATGAGTGGTTAAACCAGCAACATAAGCAGTATTATGAATGCATTAGGTTCATAAGTTTCCATACTGTTTTATTATTAGGAGTAAACTATTTGCATGAGAATAAATGTTTTTTTTGTTAATGGTTTTGACCATTACATAATTTCTATTCATGATGTAATTTGTAAAGCATTTTGTCATTAATCTCGTTATACAATAAAAATTATACCATTTTTTCTTAATGTTTACATACATTGAAATCTTTGCTGTACATGCTCATATTTTACAGCATGTTTTTCTTTCTTCTGAGAGTTCCTATGCATCCGAAGAACTGCATCATACTTAAGAAAACGCGTCCTCACATTCTTGAGATAATGCACATTGATATTATTAAAGTACAGAAAACATGACTAGTCGATTGACTTATTTGTGTTTTGAAACTGCATGTCCCCAGGTACAAATGCCCCCAGTAGACCTACATGTTTACAGAATTTCAAGTTTATTCCAATGGTGTTTTGTCAATCCACGCAAAACAGTCAAATGTTATCACTAGCTCTTCTCCAAACATTTATCTAAAGAGGTACACCGATCAAACCTCAAAGAGATATGGCGGGTTGCTATGCGTATTTCCCCAAAGCTATGTTACGCTAGTGCGCGCATCCAACCGTGCACTGTTATGACGCGTCCTCGGGTATTTTTATATAGGTAGCAATATCGGAATCCCGTGTCTAAGAATAGATTATTGTAAACAGACCACATATTTGGTAATTCGGCATTATTTGTTGGTGTTTAAGCACTTGATATACTTACTATTGCCAGTTGGAGGGTAAAACAATTCATAAATTTCATCAAAAATAGTGTCTTACCTACAAAGCGTAGCTGTACTGTACACGTGTACAGGGATTTGTTGACATGCTTCGATAGAAGTATGTCGCACTAAATAGTAAAGAAATTATTACTAACAAAACTGATAAATCAATAGGTATGTTATTAAAATGTAAACAAAATCTTCCAT